AATGTGTTCCAACACAGGAGTGGGTGGATTTTGAATTCCTCCAGAAGTCGAAATTTGTGAAATTCGAATATTGTTATTGTGACTGCATTAAGCTTTCAAAACAACAACCTGATAGAAAACAAACTGAATAAATATACTTGTACAATGGAGCTTTTATTTAGTATCTGCATATAATTGAAGAAGAAATATGTGGTAGACACCATTAAAAATAATAACTGATGCCTAGTTGTTGTTGTCAAGTGCAAGTGGATTTGAATAATTATTCATTCATTAAACAACATTTATTTCCGTAAATGTTAAACAATATTTATAGTAAATCATTATTATAACAAGAATATATGTAAATAAATTAATAATATGAAAAACGATTAACTAGTATATTTAATGGCAGATAAAAATATCTTTTCACGTAGGATACTCACAGAAACAACATAATTTAAATAAAAATATTAAAAATGTAAATTATACGCCATGCTTAAAATATTGGAACCACGCTTCAAAAAAATCCAAGGTCAATAAACAGACTTAGCGTGTCACTTGCTATGTACTAAAATAGCAATTGTTTGTATCCACCCTTTAGAATTTTGTGCACCACCTTTAACATTTTGAGGACATTTTCTGAAATTTCACCATTCTTTAAAAATCCTGGTGAAAGGGTTGCCATGACAATGAAGAGGGTGAAAACAGTTCCATAATAAAAAATACTGTCCCTAAGGATAAAATTTGACAATGTTAAGGAGAACCTCAGACGACAGTGTATCATACAAACGTATAAATACCTGCCTCTGAACCAAGGGCGTCGATCCGTGGCTGAAAGTGGGGGGACGAGATGAAAAATAAAGCCTTGGCCGTAGGCCCAAGCAATGGTTGGGGACCAGGGGGCGATAGCCCCGGAAGCTCTGGCGCATATAGCCTTTTAATTGGTTTTAAGCTATGCAATTAACGTTTATTTCCATACGAATTTTTTTTTTAATTTGAAATAGAGCTGGGCCCAGAGAGGAACTTTTACAGATGACCGCAATTCCTCTGACCGCAAGCAATCAAGGAAAGACTAGACAAGAACAAACCCGCGCGACACGAAAAGTTTAGTGTATTATACAAACGTTGAGACCACTACACAACGGCCTTTGCTTCGAGATTTGAGCATGAAGGCAAGGCAAAAACAGCTTTCTTAGCTACGTTTTTTGTCCGCTGATCGGTTAAAAAACGTATTTCATTTTTATTTTATCACTGAAAAACAACTACTGTAAAATGTTTAGCCCATAAATATGATGTGTGTGAAGAAAACATTAAACAATATTTTAATTTGGACCTTCAAAAAGCAGTTGAAAAGATAATGGCTATGAAATTTTAGGGGGGCTAAAGCCTGTTAAGCCCCCCTCTAAATCCGCCCCTGTATACGCCTCGGTGATAACATAAGGTTAGTCGGGCTTTCATTGCGTTGTACGACGGTCGTACACGACCACTAGACGACGCATCGTCTACTGATTGTAAATGGTAGTATGAGTTGGCTCGCGTCGTGGCATAGAATCGCGTCAACCGACGCCCGTCGGGCGCAATGAGTGTCCGGCTTTAAACTTCATTTTGTGTGGTCGTGTCGAGGCTGGGGCCGAAGTAGTGACCGAAACGTAACAAGTGAGCTAACATTATTTGTTAAACAAAAAGAAAATATTTTAAGTAAACGTTATGAAAGCACGAGAATTTTCATTAGCAGTATATTAGCAAGGCGCCCGAGTCCAGGATGGTCGAGAACTCAACAGGTGTTGAGGGTTCATTTAGATTCCTGGGCCGAATTTATCCAACTAACTTAAGCACGTCTCACATTATCGCGACCTAACAATGCGACCGTACCGACCTACGGTCGTATCTGACTGGAAGTAGGACCTGGCGACCAGTACCGATCACTAATTTTTTTTCAACATGTTGAAAAATCCGCAACCATAGACAACCCTCTCTTCTACACGAGCAAGTTGCTCATAGCAGCTCTCACACTGGTCGGTGTCGGTCGTATACTGATCGCAGTGTGCATATAGGTCGTTATAGTGAGTTGCTTTAGCAAAAAAAAAATTGAATAAATTCGTCTTAGGTCCATTTATTTATTTATTGGTTAAGTCAGATTTATCAATATTGCTTAACTTGAAAATTGCTTAAATTTTTCTTAGATTTAAGATGAAAAATACCTGCCTAAAGCCTGTTTTCCACTAGGCGAATTTATTCTCGCTAGTCGAAACCGTCGGCTTATGCGCATGCGCATTCACATTTATATCGCAGTTTTTGCGAAGCGAAAAATGCGCAACCAATCAGAGCTCAGGAAGCGAACCGCTACTGTCTATTCGTGCGAATATATTCGCCAAGTGGAAAACAGACCTTTAGACGAAAACTATATCATTCAAGGCCTCAGAGCTTCGGATTTTGCTTAGACACATCTTAATTTTTTTGACTTAAGACATTTGCATGCAAAGCTGAGATTAATCAATCCCGGGCCAGGTTCAAATTCTGGATGACGACCCAAATCAGGGTCTCCAACATTATTGTGTAAAGGTCACCGGACGTTTATGTACAACATTGTAGTTTAGTACTCCAAGCTTCATTAAGTTTATTTGATTGGTCTTGCATTTTTAATAACAGTAAAAGTATTAACGTTTATTCGGTATCCGACACAAATAAGTGGGCAATTAGAATAGCAGTATTTTATAGCGCATCATGCCAAGGTCTCTGTGCTCTTTGCAATTTTACCAAGTTGCTGGATCAAACACTAATTGATCAATACCTGGTTAGCGACGAGGGCCTATCCTTATACTCCGGTGGTTTGGGTGTTTGGCTTGGCTAGGAATCTTTCATCGTTATGGTTTTATTCCTTTTGTCTTTCAAATTTCCATACATCTCTACACTTGTAGTTTGTATTTTGCGCTTTACAAATTTTAAAACCATTATATTATTTTAAGTCACTTACTAGTTAAAATTCCAATACTCAGAAAATATTGATAAATATCGTTAGCAAAGTATGACCATATTTGACCACAGACCAATGCTGTACCCCCAATAAATGCTGCGTTCCGATGTCCTAGGTTACAACTGATCCAGCCGCAAGCAAATCCTTGAAGAAAAAAACAAAGAAATTGGTATATATAGGCCTATATATATATATATATATATGTATGTATATTACAATCATAAAATCGTTTTTCCTATATTTGAACTCTGTTATATTACCTATTACATAGGTAAATATATATATATACATACTTTTAAACGGTTGAAAATAGGAATCTGCGAGTGCGAAAAAAAATCCCCAACCGGGATTCGAACCAGGGACCTCTTCCTATCTATAAAGACGCTTTAATCAACTGAGCCATTGAGCCTTTCCTGTCTCTTATACACATTTAGATGTGTATAAGAGACAGGGCATTCACTGCGCCCGGCGACGGTCATCGGCAGACGCGATTCTATGGGAAATGCAATGCCACGACGACACGCGCGCAACGGACGATCGGTTCAGACTGCCACTGACAATCCGCGTACAGCGTCGCGTCGTGTAGCGCTCACAGAAAGTGGAGTTGTATTCGTCGTAGAAGAGTGAAAGGACGGACAGAAGGATCCAGGAATCGTCGGCGTGCGAAAAAATTGTCCCAACCAGGATTCTAACCCTGAACCTTCTTTTAAACCTTTATCGTGTATAAAGCATCACTACAAGACGATTTAGAGTTATCTCTTCACGTGTTACATTTATTATTATTATTATATATATACAGATATATAGGCCTATATATATATATATATATATATATATACATATAAGGAAAATAGCAGTGCTTGAAAAGGAACATAATGTGTTTCTAGCGACACCTTTTTTAACAATAATACTATACGATATATGTCAAATAGATAATAATAAAATGCTCAAATATACATGGTGATACAAAACAGACACGCTTTAAACTGTCAAGTAGTGTAGGCCTACAATAAGTGTACTTGTGTTATAAAGGTGAATCTGCAATTTCCCTTTGCCTGCCAAGATTCAAACCCAGAACATGATTGGTTAAACAGTGCTGGTTTAAGTGTTTGGTAGGTGTATTTTTTTAAGACACTACAACCTCGATGAGTTGAGAATATACGAGGCTTCCGTATTTTATGCGTTATAGGCCTAAGTTGTATATATCGATTACTGGCACTTCATTATAATTATTATTGTTACCAATGAATTCAGACCAATTTCAAAATACTGAAAACATTTTTTTAAATTTTTTGTAATGCAATAGTTAATATAAACTAACTGTTCTCTTTTCCCTAGTAAAATGTATACATATCTGCTACCTGCAATTTGCCAAAATGCGGCTGCGAATGCAAACAACCAAGTAATTGTGGACGATGGATTCTCAAATTCGGTGCCAATATGATCCTGGAATACGCTAAATGTATTGAGCACACCAAAACCCAACAGAAGTGACAAACATGATCCACAGAGCGCCTGACAGCCATATCTTCTGAACTCACTGTTAGTTGGCATCATTACGCGATCTGAAAAAAAAGTATGAAAAGGGAAAAGTGAATTGTGGAGAGAGCTTAATTGAATACAATAGTTGATGATAATTAAAATAATGATGATGATAATGGTGAAGATAATGCCCCGGATATAAATTATATCTGTCGCTCTTTCTCTCTTTCTCTGGGTCAGGTGGCGCCAATGTTTTTTTTTTTTTCTAAATAATGAACTTTCTGAAGTCTAAACCAGTCTTGTCCAGGAACCAGGTGTTTGTCTTTTTGTCTTTCCAGAATGCTCCAAATGGCCTCCTCTAACACCACAAATTCAATTCTATAGCATTCATTTATTTTCCAGAAGACTCATATTTACAAAAATCCAAACCATCATTTAGGCCTATCAGTCAGGCGGATTGTTATTGAGCAACAAGTTACTATATAAACACTCTAACAATACATAATTAACAAAGAAAAAACCAAGAAGTCGTCATCGTCTTGATGAAAATGAGCGAAACATAATTTATTTAACACATATATAAGTATTATAAACGACATTTCAGCAGTTAGACAACTTCTAAACTATTATCTGACCGTCACCCAGAACAAACGGCCTTTAGTGCCATTATACCTAAAACAAAGTGGCGGTTCAGATGATATGCTTGTTTGTTTGTTTGTTATTGCTTTTATTTAGAATCCGAAGACGAAATGCAAATCATCTTAACCACCAAGCTATTCAACTCCACTCTATGAATAGTTTTCATTGGGAATAACAATTGTCGTTGTTGTATATCGTTTTATTCAGGAAACGCATGATCAGTAAAGCAAGTTTGCCTGATGAAAAAAGGAGAACATGATGTACATGTGCACAAAAAAAACAAAAAAAAACAAAAACAAAAAAACAATAGCTATATGGGGAACGTATACAAAGAGATTTTTCATGGTCATGACCAAAAATTTTTTTTTTAAGATGTACAAAATACTAAATATTATACTATAAAATACTAAATACTAAAATGATATACAGGGGGAAAATCTGTGCTATCTGTATCTTATTAATCATTCCCTAGGTTTTTGTCCAACAGCAGTCTTTAAACGATTATGTTGTTCAAAACTGATAACGTTTTTGATCACTCTTTTTATATATCTTTACGTCACTGTTTTTATATATTTTTCATCCTAGTGGCCCGGCGGTCTACACTTGCCCCAGTATTTCCCCTACCCAACCACTCTCAGTGCTACTGTATTTGTCGGTCCCACCATGGTTGTATCATGTATTTCGACTTTTCAACAGACAAATACAAAACAACATACACTTGTAAGTGTAATACTTGTTACTTGTTACTTGTTTTGTTAGCCGTCCTCTATCTAGAGGACATCAGGCTGTCATTCACTGATATCAGTTGACATAGGCCTATACACTGCTTTTTATAGAGAGAGACCAGCAAATTCTGTGCTACACAAGTAAATTTAAGGAAGGATTGTTAAACTGTTATTAAAGAAATAAGAGTAAAAACATGGCTGTTGTCAGAGGTACAATTTTTAAGAATGTGAAACTTTTCATGTCTGGAAATGGCACTCTCATACTTTTAAATTACTTTTCAAACAGACGGTGGAACTGGATGGACCGAGTGGACTTTAGCTTTCACAGAGATTCTAGTCCGGTATTCTAAGAGGTAATGCCTGTCTCATTCTCTCCGTGGTTGGGGCTGAGGCACGAACAGTTTAGGAATAGTGATGTAATTGGCATGACTGTTACACTCTACCAATACATTTCACTGTCTAAAATTGATAGATTGAAGTTCAAAATTACTAAAAAACATATATAAATTTCTTCGCTGTAGATGATAATAACAGGATTGTTACACTCTACCAACGCATTTCATTGTCTAAAATTGACAGTTTTAAGTGCAACTCAGGTGAGAAAAGTTTAAAATAAGATACTCTAGATACCGAGAATGGCTCTCTGACTGTAAATGTAGTGTTCAGTCAGTTTTAAAATTTAAAAGTGTCCAGGGTTAGTTTCCCCAAGACCACGCACTGCGTCCTCCCCTAGATACGGCACTGCTATAATATTTGAAGTTAGTATGCCTTAATAATAACTTTCCAATATACTCTTCATATTTTATTTAGTGTGTGTGTGTTGCAAAATGGTAGAAAAAATATATTGTTTACGCTTGTTTTTGTTGTTATTATACTTTATAAAAAAAATTATAAATAGTGAGGGTCCCAGAATGCAACTTAGCTTCTAAACCAAGCTAATGACATTTTATCAGGGCATTATGTAGCAGTAAGATATTATGATCAAATGTGACTAATCCAATAACTTTACTTTTATCAGTAGCATCCAACCAATTCCGTATAGCATTATTGGGGGTCAACAAAGTTCCTGAACGGGGCATTGACGCCCACCTCAACTCCATCATCGTTGGGGCTTAGGTAGCAAATGTTAAAAATATGTACCTCTAGATGCCCAGAAATGGCTCTGAGTAGTGTTCTCCACTATTTCCCGACGGAGGGTTCAGGGTTCCCCCCCCCCCACCGACCCCGCGCTGATGGCACCGACACTGGTATTTTTCCACTTCCAAAACATATAATTTTATTTTAAAGAAGACAATGCATTAATAGAGGAGGAAACGTTATATAGTTGGCCCAGGCAAGCACCCAGGTTTATAACTGAACTCAGAAGTTGGTATAGCTTATTATGCCTTATAATGACCACAATCAATTCGTTTTGTCCAAATAATTCAGCGTATTGCGAATTTCATGGTGGAAAAAATTGTTCCACTGTTTTGTTTTTTTAATTGTCAATAGGTATTTAACTGCATTGAGATATAGGCCTATTTAAAGATTAAAAATCTCCTTTAATTGCTTGGGAGTCGATTAAAAAAAATAATATTAATATTCTTGATTAAAGCATTGAGGTATGCTGCCCACGCCAAATGACGTTTGCCCTGTGAGGAAACAGTAGATACTGTAATCAGCTGTAATCTACTGAACAGGCTTTCCTGTACAAAGAATAAATAACTAAATAAAATAAAACCAATCGAGTAAACTCACGTTTTGAAAGGCTTAACAGTCGGTACTCTCCTCAGAATGATACTTGAACCATTCCAGTTAATCCTAACAAAGAGGCACAACTTATTAGACTGGGCTACTTCGTCTTACATTGGTTGTATGCACTGTATTTGCTATGTCGTGTGATTAACAGGGCCCAGCATAGGCCAATTCTATACATTTTGATCATAGATGGTTAATAGGGCCAACCATTAACATGGATACACGCTATTGCTTTTATTCAATAAACAGGCCTCCGGCATTTTAACATAATAAAAGATACAAATACACAAAGTGAGGATTTCTAAATATACATTTATATAATTATTTGCATAACATACATACTATTGACAATATTCGGTAGTCCATTGGTTATGGTTCCACGTTAGTAAGTCTAAATGCAATATAAAAAAAAAACATTGTACATTGAATTAAAAGCAAATGAACGAATAAACGATATACTATAAATACTGTAGTTTTGAATATTTGTGTATTGAACTTTTAAAAGAATGTGGTTAGTTCATTCAGTTTAGTCTTTATGTTGTTTGGAAGATTATTCCATGCCTTGTTTGCCAGGTATAAAAATGTTATTTTCCTTTGTATTTATCACCATTAGGTACTTTTGTATGATTTATTTATTGTACACTAATAATAATAATATTTATTTGATATTACACTTTTATATCAGTGGCAGCATGCAAGAAAGTGGCGCAGTCAATCTTAGCTAATGAATGAGGATGAAAAAAAACAACAACTTAAAGCTATACAAATGTAAGAACTTATCTAAAGAAAAAATACAATTTTGAGTTTTAAAATAAACCATAAACACCCCTTACCCCTTCTCACATATATAATGCACATAAAGGCCCTATGCACACGAACATGCATGTACACACGCACACACATACACACACACACACCTGTGTATTCGCAATACTACTTGCACAAAAGTGAAATTCAAAAAGAAAAGAGAAGGAAAACCCTTGATAAAAGTACTGTACATGCAAAGAGCCTAAATTTACTGTTTTAAGTTTATCTTATTTGTTTTTCATGGTTCGAATACGTAACAAACTAATCAGTAGATTATAAATCATTATTTTTATGAATGTTGTTTGAACGAAATATAAAAGTGAGCATTATTATGATTACAAGGATAAATTGAAAAACTTATTATGATGAGTATTTTAGTGGCAGATTCAGGGGGTGGGGGGCTATCCGGCCCACCCTCTATTTTTTTTTCAAAATTGAAAGTGGAGAAAAAAGAAAATTGTATTCAAATTAAAGTCTGAGGGTGCCATTTCCGGCCAACTAGAGACATAATCATCAATTTTCTTACCTCAACCTTACCACCCTCAGCCAAGGATTCGGCCTACTGCCTAAGGCTCCCTTATTTTGTAATTCGCCTTTTCTTCCACCCCAAAACATTCAACCACGGATCGACGCCCTTGATCCTACCTCAGCCATAATTTCGCTAATGGGAGTTTTGATGTCAACTGATATTAGAACTCTACCTAGCCTATTCTGTATTTTTTTTTTTTAGTTTATTTAGGTGATTGTTAGTAGTATTAGAAATAGACCAAATAATCAAAAAGGGGCATAATAAGTGCATTTGATAGCATTTTAGTTGTCTTAAAAGGCAGGTATTTTGTTTGGCAAGGCGAATGACACCAATTATTTTCGATATTTTAGATGACAATTTGTTAATATGTATAGGCCTAGCCAATGTTAAATCAGGGGCGGATCCAGGATTTGAAAGAGGGGGGTTTAAAACGTTTCCAAAAATACTCAAAATGAAGGGGTGGGGTCCTCCCCATGGAGGGGAGAACTCGCTCAGGTGACCTAGGGTTTTAAAACAAATACCGTATATGCTCGCGTATAATAGGACGGGTCGTCTTATACGCACGACATTCATATTTTAGATTTTTATAATCATGTTCGTCTTATGTGCAGATCGTCCGTAACACGCGAACTTAATATTGAACGAGCCCCCAATACTGCAATGCCCATACCTACGCCACTGGAGCTGAGTAGTGGTTACATAACGTTTGCTATGCATATATCATGCGCTATAGAAGTGGAAGACCATAATGTATTGGGAATGTACCTCTCTCTGGTAGGGCATACAGTACAATCAGTGTAAAAGTGTAAGGTATAGGATAGTGTTGATTTAAACATTGTCCTAATGGTAATGTTCAAAATAAGTGTCAGGGAAAGTAAGTGTGATTGTTGGAAAAAATGGTCAACATTTTATTTTGATTTCTCACCCTGACCTTCGCCTGGGCGAAGTGGGCGAAGATCTGGATCCGCATCTAGTTAGCATGAATTTTGTGAGCCAGGACCCAGTAGTATTTTGTTACGTTTCTTCACAGAGTGGGGTTCGTCCGAACCCCCTGAACACCCCCCACCACCCACCCCTGGATCCGCCACTGAAGTTGCAATCAAAATTTACACCGAGGTATTTAATAGTCACTACCTTTTCAACATTAATATTGTTATAGCTTAGAGAAATTTCTAAAAATTTAGGAAGTAGGTAAGATGTTCCGAATATCACGAATTCAGTTTTGTTAGTATTTAATGTTACATTATTGCTTTTGAACCACTCTGTTAAAAAAATTAAAGTTTGTTTTAAGTTCGAATTGAAGTTCAACAGGATCAATAGAACTGCAAAGAAGGGCTGTATCGTCTCCGTATAATTAGACATTTACCTTGGACTACCTCAGGATGTGAATTAACAAAAATATTAAAAAGTAATGGTTCTAATATTGATCATTTGGGTTATCTGGAAGCCGTGGGTTCGATTCCCCACCGAATCACTTGAGAATTTTTTTCGTAAGTATTCGGGAACGTACTAAGTATTCGGTACGATAATATGTCAGGTAGTGCAAAACATCACTCCTATGATGTTTCCTAACGCAAGCACACATCGTATTACAGTACCTGCTGCTACGTGGAGATCGGATTCAACACTAGTCACTGAGCGCAAGCTCGATAGTCTAGCGGTTATGGCGCTAGGCTAATTATCTGGAGGTCGTGGGTCCAGCGTTGGGGGTTTGCCCGCGGAAGGTCCAACAATAACGTTTTGAGAGCCGTACAGTATATAATGCACTTCTGAAACCCATAATTCGTGAATATTCTATTTAATTTTTTATTCATTGGGTATTGTTAGGGACCTGAACCTGAAGAATAACGTTTTATGTCCTTTACATCTGTTCAATTTCCAACAAATGTCATACCACAAAAATTAACTGTTAAGGCCAACTCAGACAGCGTCGTACGACGCAGCCCGACGCGATTTGTTGTCGCGTCGGGTCTGTGTGAGTTAAACGCAGACGCGATGGTGTGCGTCGGGGGCAGTCGCGTCGTAGAATATCAAACATGTTTAATATTTCTCACGACGGCTTAAGACTGTCCCCGACGATAAATTGGGTCGGGCTGCGTCGGCAGACGCTGTCTGAGTTGGCCTTTAGAAGAACTGGCAAACGAAATACAATGCATACTAGGGTCCTATAGATTTTTGCAATAATTAGGATCGATTTTAGTGAAATAATATGATTTAAAAAGTGGACCTTTTGAATATTGGGAGGTGGGGTGCATCCGC